ATAAAAGAAGCTGAAGTTAATTTAACAAAGCTCTGTTTTTCATTTCATACTCATAAAAAACTCAGCCTGTTCTTGTTTGAATATTTTGTGTCGGTGTTTTTTATGTTTCTCCATGAGATGACAGAGAACCAGAAGGTATTATTTTCACATGAGTTTTACTGGCATTCCTTTTGTTTTTTAGATATTCTTAATCAAAGCTAAATCTCTACCAGCTTCCTGTGGTCTTTATCTGCAGCTGAATGTTGAATAAAATGGGGGAAAAAAGCGCTGAATGTTGGAAAAACTGTAAATCATACCTCAGTTTTATGTTTACATTTGAACATCATGTTTACATTTCACATAAATCATCAGTGCTGCACTTTAAGAATCATGGAAATGTCTTGAAGCTGTACTGAATGAAATTTCGTCTTGTATGCACCCTGTGTACAAAATGACAGTTTGTCTAAGACTTTTTTACATTTCACAAACAATTGTTCTCCTTCATACTTTCTTAAAATAATATTTTTAAATATGATAACTATTAAGAGAGTATGGTGGATCTATATATGTAATTTTCTACTAGGAGTCTTAGTGTCTCCTCTGCTTTCTGTTACAGGCGTTTTCAGTATTCTTTGTTTGCGTGGCGTTTACCTCCGACATCATTTGCCTCCTCTTCATCCCGGTCCAATGGCTGTTCTTTGCTGCCAGTACCTATGTGTGGGTGCAGTATGTTTGGCACACCGGTAAGTTCCCCATGTTTGATTCTCTTTAGATTTTCTAATTAATTGCAAACAAAATAGGTTATGATGCCTGTTTTTGTTTCCTGACAGGTTTATAGTATTCATCAGATCTTTTGACAATGAACTTATGTATCTAATTTTATCTTTTATTTAATGTATTTATTAGCAGCTCACATGTTTGTCTTGTTTCACCTGAAATTCCTGAATATTTTCCAAAAGGAATGCGTCGGGATTGTGTGAAACAAGTGCTTATTTCTCTGTTTGCTCGCTTGTAAACATGAGATTTATTTCCCAAACTTTTGCATGTTTGATGTACATGAGCTGATGAGCTGTCAGACTGATTTAATAGCGGTTGCCTGACCAGAGGCCAGGTGTCGGATTGTAATCCAAGAGCCTGCTGGTAGCAAGGGGGGGGGTGGAGTGGTTCCCAGTTGCTTTCCAAACTCACCAGCGACATTCAGACTCGCAGCATGTCATAGGAGTATAAATATCTTATTGCACCCCACAGCTTAGTGCTGAATGTTTGCAGTGCAGTGCTGCCAGGAAACAATGGGTTGAGTCTACATCAGGGCAGACTACATCCCTGCTGGTAATAGCATGGAGATGGAAAGATCAAGTCTAGCCCTGAATTACAGAGAAGGGAACGTTTTTGAATCTGAATCATGTCAGACTGTATTTAAAGTCGTAAGGAAATCCTATTTAAATGTCAAATCATTCTGGCTTAAACATGTATATAAATGTACTCTTTATCAGACGATGTCCCAAAATGTAAAACATTTTTATTTAAAAAAAATCCTGTCTTAAAATCTGTGGGGGTTTTTTTTCTCGTTATTTTATGCAGGCCAGTTAGTTATACATCAGCTTGTACACCTAAATTCCAATCATATATCAACGGTCATCTGTAAATCAAATTTTTTCAGTCGTAGCATCTTGATTCATGTCGCAGATAATATACGCAATGGTTGAAATAAGAAATAAGAATCATTTACTTTCCCACTGAGTTCCGTCCCAGTGTTCACATGGATGGCGTAGAGCTAACAGAACTGGCAGCGTCGCGAGGCAAGGGCTCAAACATGTACGGCTGTAAGCCTTCTACACCAAACCAAGCTTCTGCCGCCCTGGCGTCCTCTTCCACAACATCTTCGTCTCCGCTTCCCTCCTCTAAATAATACGGAGGAGACTCATCCATGACCTCCGACACTAAACTCTCCTCCTCTTGCATGTTTCCGCTGTCCATAGCGTTCCTTGACAGTGTCGTTTCTAAGTCACCAATTTAGTGCTGCTTGGTCCCAATGTAATTTCTCATTGGGAACCTACTAGCACTAAGTTGCTAACTGGTTAGCAAAATGCTTCCGACAAACCGGCCACAACCAAGCATTCTTGCGAACCTTCCGCCACAACAATCCCGCCCCCTTGATAAACGACCAATCACATTCACTTTATTCACTAGTGTAAAGTCGTGCACCACTCTTGAGAATTTAGAAATGCAACGATTGGAACAGCCGCTTCCCTACGACTTTAACAACTTGGTCTTTAAATAAAACCATTTTATTTTATTGTTAAAATTGTTTATTATTTTTCTTTGGGCATATCTATTTATTTAGTTTGATAATAAAGAAACGTAACTTGAAATGTAACTTAAGCATGTTTTTTGAAGAATAACTGCTTTTGATGTAATTAGAAATTACATCAAAAGCAAATGAAAATTGACCAGACTGTCTTAAACCCCCAAAAATTAAAGCTTAAAGTGAAGTTTTGACACTTTTGTTTTGTTGATGCAGAGAGGGGTGTGTGTCTCCCCACTGTGTCTCTATGGATACTGTTTGTGTACATAGAGGCAGCCATCAGATTCAAAGACCTGAAAAACTTCCACGTGGACCTGTGTCGTCCCTTTGCTGCACACTGGTGAGCATCAGTTCTGTTTATTATCAAACCTTTTTAAGTTACTAATAAAATGTTATTACTGTTCTTCTATGATTTTGTTCTTTATTGGTTAATTAAAAAACTGCATCATTTTA